TCCCTGTTTTGACTGTTGGACAGAAGATCACATTTTATTCTAATAGCCAAAGATTAGTCTTAGGACACACAAAAATGTGGTTTGTATGTTTTTGAGGTTTTTTTTCCCTCAGTCTTTTTTCCCCAGTCTGAAGAAGCTTTTAAACTGTCACATAAATTTTACTTATTTAGACAGCAACCATGTCTTCTTGACATCAAATTTTAAGTCTCATAAATATCCTTTAAAAGGAGTAACACATCAACATAATTAAAAATCAAAATTGAGATTTATAATCCCTCACTGCTGAAGGCATAACTTCACTTTCATATTGACTTTTCACTGTACAATAGCTTATCCTCTCCCAGCTTCTCCAACTAACAGGAAATGCAACTGCAATCTTTCCATGGTACTGCTGCAAACTGAGGATTCAAAGGACATTTTTAACTCCCTTCTCATTGCAAACCAATCTCCCCACCAATCCTGGGACCACAGATTTAAGGCAGAGTTGAATTTGGTTGAATGTTTTTACTTTTTCTTACATAAGTGAGCATTACATAAGTGAAACTGAGAGACAGGAGAAATGCTGAGATAAATAGTTTTGCTTGATGAAACAAATTCAAGCAGATTCCAAAAAAGAGATTATATTTTGTTATCCCACAGATGAATCTTCTTAATGAGGCACAAAGATTAAAGAAAAAAACTTCCAAGGACTATCATATTATAGACTAGAAAATTCCAGGGCCACATTCATCCAAATATAACTTCAGTGGATTAATGCTAGAGCCTGGTTTCATCACCTTGCTTTTACAGTCTAATTTCTGAATGCACAACTGCCAACCTTTTTTTTTTCTTGCACTAAGAAAATAATATCATTTAGCCACCTAAAGGAGGTACAACCAGCAATTACACCAAAGAAAGGGACCAAAAAGTAATACGAAATAAACGTCACGGAGTCTAATTACTCCATCACTCCTCTCTTCCACCACTTTTATACTGCGACAAATACCCTTCTTTTTCCAGTAATATACCTTTAAATAGCAACACAAGTAAATAGTTCCATGGGATTCCTATTCGTCTCATTTCCATAGATGGCCTTCAAGGCTCACTAACTTCCAAGTCAAAAACAACTAACTTCACCCCTTCTCTGTGAATCACAAAGGAGGATTTCAGATTTGGTTGATATAAAGACATGCCATTAAGCTTTTGCCATGGAAGTAGCACTGATGAGGAGACCAAGGCAACCAAAAGTCCTTTTTTGTGGCCACCTCCCATACATTCAGAGACATGATGGAAGGAAGAAGCCTGTGCTTTTGGAGATGTCAAGGCTGAGCTGAAGAGCACAGCTTACAAAGAGCATTGCTAAAGGGCAGCACGAAGTCTTCCTTCCAGGTAAGAGGCTTAGAAAGGTGGCTTGGGCCAAGTGCCAAAAGCCATTTTCAGGTAACTCTAATGTAAAAGCAGCCTGTTCACTGTTTAAAGGCTGAAGAGAATGAGATCAGTGCAAATCAAAATCCTCACTTCACTGCTGTTCCACAGTACTTTAAAAACCTGTATTTTTGATAGATCAAAGTATGCCACAGTTCAGTGTGAACATATATCTAGGCCAAGTGCATTCGCACTGAACATCACTGAAGCTCATTCATAGCCCACTTCAGAGAGGCACTGCCTGCATTTCCCACAGCGAGCAGGAGTGAAGGAAGCATGTCATTCACAAGAAGGCAAACAGGTTGATTTCAGGAGGAAGGATGTTCTGGAAAGACAAAGTCATTGGAGTGACTGCTGTAGATGGTCCAGACCTCCTCACACATAATCTAAGCCAAAGCCCAGGGAACCTAAGGTAATGCAATAAAAGCTGGAGTCAGAAGGTGCTGTTCTGCAATACACAAAGCGAAGGAGAAGGCATTTTGACAGTCAGGCAGCCCCAGACAATACACACACTGACCATAAGACACCTGCAGGATTGTGCTGCATTCATAGAATCAGAGAATCATTCAGGCTGGAAAAGACCCTTAGGATCATTGAGTCCAACCATTAACCCTACTCTATAAAGTTCACCCCTGAGCCACACCCTCAAACACCACATCTAAACGACCTTTAAACACATCCAGCGATGGCGACTCAACAACGTCCCTGGGCAGCCTATTCCAATGTCTGACTACTCTTTCTGTGAAAATTTTTCTCCTGATGTCCAGAAATGGAACATTGAAATGAGAATGTTCAGTCCAGAATTGGGTGGACATCTATATTGTTGGGAAAAGGGCCCTGTTTAACTCAAGAACACTTTCTTAGAGGTAATTTTAGTGATTGAGATAAACCCCCTCTTCTGCTAAATAGATTATTTGGAAAGTCTTGTCTCAGTGTACATTTGAACAATTTAGAGAACCTGGGAATCTTATCTCTGAAAGATAATTCAGCAATTTAAGTTAAGTAGATCCATTAAAACAAACCATATAGCCATGCCAATTTAGTGAACCTCTTTATTAAACAAACAAAAAAAAAAAAGCATTTGGTGTCCTTTTAATCATTAGTAGTTTTCTTTGCAAGCAAAAGAACAATTTACATTAAAAGCTAATTCAGATTATAATGAAACTAATCAAACAACTCGTGAGTATGCAAAGGTTTATTCATATTTATATTTGCATTCTGTTGAGTAGTCCCAATAATTTAAGGGTCATTACTCATACTGGAGGGGTTACAACAATCACATCAGTATTTTAACTGCACCTAACGTATTTTGGCTAAAATACATGCCAAGAGGAGCCAGATAAGATTCATCTCCACCCAAAAAAAAAATCAGTATTGGAGGAGCAAGAGAGGTAAATATCAATAATTTCAGAAGATCTTTTCCTAAGCCCTAATATACTGGTGTAGAAGATGACATATACATTTGTCGCTAAGGGTGCACAAGGATGACTCTTTAAAAGTCCATCTGTTCCTAAATCACTCATGTTGACTAAAGTTTACTCAACGGGAAAAATGTATTATCAAAAGACCTTGCAGGAATGTGTGCTCCCCTGTGATTTAGTATTTTCCATCTCTAGCACCTGTGACTATGATTTCCAGACTGTGGTTCATAGGTTCACGGGAAGTTGCCTATCATCGGTACCCAAATTTATATCACCCACTGGAAAACAGCAGGAAGAAGTTTAGACAGAAGGGTAGGAGCTAGTTCATAGGAACTCAGTCACGTGGTTTTTTCCTATACCAGGGTAGTTAGCAGGACAGTAAACAGAACTGGTAAGCACACCTATAGCAAGACATATATGAGAGTTTGCAAAAGTAAAACTGTCTCTCCAGATGCACCCAGTCATTCCCTTCCCCTGCCTTCCTCCCATCCTCACATATGCAGTGTACTTACTGTGTTCTTTCAAAACAAGACAATATTAACTCACTCCCACCACATGGTGAACTGAAGAAGCTTTACAAGATTTGATTCTGTCAGTAAAACTCTAAGTCAACACGACAAATCCTCAAATACTCCAAAAATCATTTCTAAAGGTTTTATATGGCTTTGTGTGGTCAAACTGTCAATTTGTTTGGTCTTTTTATATTTGGAAAACCTAGATGTAATGATTTCTAGTTCTCACTCTGGTGGAAATACTTTCAGATCCATACAAAATCTTGACTTGGTTTGCTGTAGCCTTACAGGATACACTTATGCTATGGGTACGTAAGGGATGCAACAAAGCTCGTGCAGCTAGCCTGCATTTCCCTTGCCCAGATGAGGGAAATTACAAAAATGCCCTGAACTTTCTTTCCTCCCAGTATAAGTAGATTTCCTTCTGAGGTGTAAAGGCATGGGACAGACCTCAGCCCTGCTCAGCAGTGCAGGGATGTGACCATCCTGCCCAGAACTGCAGGGAGCAACCAGAACTGCAACTCCCACCTGACACAAACAGTAGTGGAGAACCACATGAAGAGGAGGGAGGAAAGGAGAGAGAGAGAGAGAAATAAAGAGAAAATAGCATTCTTTGGATGAGAAGCCTAGCTGGCTAAAGATAAGATGCAGAATTCTGATCTGTATTACACTTCTGGTCCTTTTTAATAGCATAATTACATAAACTGTACTTGCATACTGATTTCATTTTAATTAGTTTTAAAAAAAAATCTGATTCAAACATTAAACTTCTTTGAGATTTACCCTGTCTTTTCCTAATCTATAGCAGTTCAAGGACAGTCTCCAGCATCAGGTTCTGGAAATTGTGCTGGGACTCTACTTCACCACTGCAGTGTAAGCAACCTCAGAGCAGACACCCCCAAGCAGCATTTCAAGGCATGTGTTCTGCAGGAACTCAGATTAGGTACAGCATCACTCTCACTTTAGGCTCTGTCAAGACACCCCTATAGATTCTCAAAACTACACGACAAGGTTGACAGTCCACTCCAACCACTTTCGAAATACTGTGTGAACAGGCAAGGTTTAAAAAGCCAATCGCAATATTTTGGGGCCTACAATACATTACTGAACATTTACAAATAGAACCTCTTGATCGGTTGCAAGAGGAAAGACAAGCATCCCACCCCCAAACCTGTGCCTTTCCTCATGCAGGAGAGGATACACAAGGAGTACACATTCTTTGTACGTTTGACACATTGTGTGACATTTGTCACAGCTGCATCATTAGTGCCATTTTAGTGTTCGCAGTCTTAGCCGTAGTGATTTAGTTTACAGCCTTACAAAGCATTTTTCTGAAAGAGGTGAGGGGTGGGACATGAAAATTGCTTTATCTCTGTGGTTTTTGTGACACCAGGTAGGGATGAAAAGCCGTGTGTCTGGTCTTGAAAACACAGCAAGACTGGCCCACGGCTGCTTTTAAAGCCGTGATTAGTGCAGAAATCTGGTGATCCATGACCACTCCATAGCAATTAAGACTGCTCTGATGTCTCATTAAGTTTCCTGTTCTCTGTGTGGGTGGAAGAAACAATATTCACTTAATGAAAACACATATCTGTCCTGTAAGGAAATCAAAAATTAATCTGGGTTGGGGAAAAAGAAGTATTCTGTTTGTCCTTATTCTTACCTTCCCTGCATAGGGACTGGAGTGAAATCCCTCCCCAGAGCAATGCAGCCATCCTTCCTTATTGCTGGTTTTTCACACAGGATCTGTGGCTCTCCAAGACTTGCTACCATGCCATGATACTCTTGTAACAGCTGCAGCTCATTGCAACTTCTGGTCACTGATTTGGCTGCCACCTTTGCAGACAAACTGGTTTGATGTAAAGGTGTCTGACTCAGCTCCATCTCTTGTTGCCTAGAAATTGTACTGTCATCTTTGTTATCCAAGTACATCTGTCCCTGGGGGGTGTTCTCCTAAAGAAAGCGAAAACAAATATATTAGGACTAAATTGAATTGGCTTAATGTTTACTTCAGTACAAGCGTGTTAAAAATGCCAAGCAGAAGATTTTTTTGTGCATCTTTGGATATTTCTGTTGTTGATTTATTTCCACCAGGAATAATTCCAGTGTTTTAAGCGTCTTTGCAATTTCAAAATTAGCCATTATAAGAAGCACTGAAATATATAAAGAGATGGATCATCTACTTTTTCCAGGTCTGACATGATTTCCTCTCACAAATTTCCCAGGAACTCGCATGGTCTATCCTACAGAATAAGCCAAAATTCTCTCCACCTCAAAGGCACAGGAGAGGCTGGTGCGGAACATTTTCCCGGCTTACAACAGCGCTGCTTCACCACCATGACACAGATTTTCTCTGGTGGCTGTGGCAGCCCCACCAAAGCCACCACTCTCCTCCCAGCCCTCAGTCTCCCTCGGGAAGCCCTGTCATGCTGAAGCTCTGCCGCAGCTGATGGCCCCTCATTAAGCAGAGCAGGTACTCCAGTTTTATGAAGACAACATGCCGTTTCAGCAGTTGCCAGAGGCATTTATGAAATGTGAATCAAACCTTGATGAAAATTAGGTTCTATTATATGATTATTAATGGTGATTATAATAAAACTTAGAGCATAATAGTCAAAAAGCTTTTATGCTCTCATCATTAAAATTCAGCATGAAAAGTTATAAAAAAAACCCACCACTTCAGAAACCCACAAAGTGTACAAATCAGATAAAAAGACCAAGTTAAAGATCAGCCTGTCTTAAATGCATGCTGTGGTGTCTAATCACGGGAATATTTCAGTGTGAAGTGCCAAAGCCACTGCAGAGGACAGCAAGAGCTGGGGAAATGGGCCCGTCAGCCTCCGACGTCCCTGCAGCAGGGGAGAGCAGCCTTGTCAGAGCACATACCTGCTCCTCCCTGCAGAGATCTCAGCACAGGACACGCAGGTAGACCTGCAGGGCTGTGGGGCAGAAATAGCACAGTAAAGGGGAATAGGCTCTGCTTCGGTCCCAGCAGAAGAAACCTCTAGAAACTGAAATAACAGAAAGCTAATGATTTTGTACAGCTTTGAGTTCTCATGGGCTTGCAGGCTAAAAGGGGAGGCTCTCCCCCCCTCCCCCAAAAAAGACTGAACATATAAATGTCACCACAAATGTACATCTTGGCTGCAAGCAAAGGCAGGCTTGCTAGCCAAATCTAAATCAGAATTTCCCCAGGTGTCATTTGCTTCCCCAGTCCTGCATTTATTTTTCTTTCTAATCTCAAAGCCCTTAGTTCTCATATCCTAATCTTCTGAACATGAGCCAGCAGTGTGTCTAGGTGGCCAAGAAGGCCAATGGCATCCCAGCCTTTATTAGGAATAGTGTGGCCAACAGGACCAGGGAAGTGATTGTGCCCCTGTACTCGGCACTGGTGAGGCCGCACCTCGAGTGTTGTGTGCAGTTCTGGGCTCCACAGTACAGGAAGGACATCGAGGTGCTGGAGAAGGTACAGAGAAGGGCAATTAGAATGATTAGGGGACTAGGGTGTAAATCTAATGAAGAGAGGCTTAGGGAGCTGGGGCTGTTCAGCCTGGAGAAGAGGCAGCTGTAGTGAGATGGGTGTTGGCCTCTTCTCCCTAGTGAATACCAATAGGAAAAGAGGGAACGCGTTCAAGTTGCACCGGGGAAGTTTAGATTGGATATTAGGAAAAATTTCTTCATTGAAAGGGTGGTGAAGCATTGGAATGGGTTGCCAAAGGAGGTGGTGGAGTCACCATCCCTGGACATGTTTAAAACTGGCTGGATGTGGCACTGCAAGAGAAGGTTTAGTGTTGTAGTGGTGCAGGGCTGTAGGTTGGACTTGATGATCTTAAGGTCCTTTCCAACCTTTATGGTTCTATGATTCTACGATTCCTTATCTGCCTTTACAAGTAGATTGACAAACTTGACTCTTCCAACCTTTACACAGTAGCTGCAGTGCTATGTTCAGTCCTGGTCCCCACAATTCAAAAAAAGACGTGGACAAACTGGAGGGAGTCCAAAGGAGAACCACAAACATGATCAAGGGGCTGGAGAATATGCCTTATCAGAAAGCACTGAGGGAGTTAGATCTTCTCTCTCTAGAGAAGAGAAGGCTCAAGAGGCACTTCATTGCAGCATTTCATTACTTAAAGGGCAGCTAGAAAGAGGACAGGCTCTTTCTCCAGAAGGAGCCACATGGAGAAGAAAAGTGACAATGGGTACAGCTTGCACCAGAACAAGTTTCATCTTGATATAAAAAAGACATTTTTGCAGTGAGAATCACTGGAACAACATCCCCAGAGATGCAGTAGAGTCCCCATTGCTGGAGGTTTTCAAGACATGAGTGGACAGAGTGTCAGACAATCTCATCTAAGCCCCCTTTCCCATGAAAGGTTGAACTACATGGTGTTTCAAGGTCCCTCCCAAACTGAGCTGCTCTATAAGCCTATGATTAACATCCTGGAAAACATCAGCATAAATAAGCATTTGCTTACTTGTTCTTTCCCAGTTTCCTTGAAAGGGAGAAAAAAGAAAAGGAGGATAGGGAGAGTGTGATGAACTACTGAAAGAAAAAGATGGCAACTATTGGCTTCATAGGGCTCCCATTTTTACACACGCTTGGTGTCCTGGCTTGACCTGAACCAGAACCAATTCTGTTCAGTGATTTTACCTTCAGGTCTTCTAAAAGACTGCACTTTCTGTAGTTAGCAACATGGTTTTGCAGATAGTGTCTGCTACTAGGAGTGATAATACTTGATGTTTATAATTACTACCGGGGACTGACATGCAGAAAGGCTCTTGCTTATATTTTCACCTACAGAAACCATGGTCACTGTTGGATCTTGTGTGTCACATTGAGAGTGCCAGGAAATAAAACAGTTTCAAGTAAGTAGAAAAGGCACTCCTCCAAGGAGGAACGGACAGTACAGGTGACCCAAGCCTGACCAACGAAATATTCCATTCCATGGATGTGTCACAGTTTGAGCCTGTCCCACTTGGAACAACACAACCACTTGATCACCCCATTCCCTTCCCTTTAGGGATGGAAAGGGAGAAAACTCAACATAAAAGGTCAAGGACTGAGATTAGGACAGGGAAGGTTCAGTCACGACTTATGCTCACGGGAAAAGAACAGAGTAGACTTGGGGAGAAAAATATAACTTCAATTTATCACCACCAACTATCAGCTAGATCAGAGTACAATAGTGAGAGAAATACATGCAAACAGATATTAAATGCACTTTCCACCCACACCCCTCCTTTCTTCCCAGCTACCTTCTCCCTCGCATTGGTGCAGGGGATGAGGTTGCAGTCTGTCCATTACAGACTGTCCGTGTTCTTCCTTCCTCGTCCAAAAGAGGACTTGTACAGTCTTCTCCTACAACCATTTGATGCCCGCCTCAGGGTGGACAATCCTCCTCCTCCTCCATGCAAGTCCTTCCCACTAGTGTGGGATCCACCCATGGGAAGCAGCATCCTCTGCTCCAGCATGGGTTCTCCTCGGAGTCACAGATCGCTTTGGGTGCATCCTCTGCTCCTGTGTGGTGTCTCTCTCCTCTGGCCTGAGATCCTTCATGGGCCACACCCTGAACACCTTCACCGCTGTTGACCTCCTTCATTGGCAGGACCTCAGCCTGCCAGCTCACTCACTCCAGGCCTCTGGGGAACACTCTGCTCCAGTGCTCTTCTCCCCACCCTCTTCACCAACCACGTGGTTGCACTCCTCTCACCTCCTCCTCCTTTTCAAAACAAAGCAACTCCCCCAAACAAAAACAGAGACAAAGAGAGTGTTACCTAACAGCTTTCCCTCTTAAATACATTGATCCAGAGGCACCGACTGGCCTGGCTCTGGCCAGAGGGAGGTCCAACTTTTACCTGGGCTGGGGGAGGCTCTGGAAGTTTCACAAGGAGCCATCCCCATAGCCCTCCCCCCTCTACCAAAAACCTCTGTCAGACTCAAACCCATTATACTCAGTATAAAGCTGAGAGATCACAGGGGTTAAACCCTCTTATTCAGTGGCCAGCATCTGAGGAGGACTTCATCTGTTCTTCTGTCTTCGATCCCTATCTGTCAGGTCCTGAACATAACTCCCAAATCCCGATCCCGAATCTTCTATTTCTCATCTGCTGCTGAGTCCAGTCTGGAACTCCCCTGGTGCCTGCCTGCTCTGCCACATCAGTGGTGATTGCTATCAGAGTTGGGAGTGAGGAGGGAGGATTGGGTTCAATATTGATTTTGTATATATTTGTATATATCTTACGACTTCATTATTTTCTTATGAGTACTATTATTTTTTCATTAAAGCTGTTCTAGTTTTCTTTTTCAGTCTGTAAACCTCTCTTGCCTTATTCCCTTTTTCCTTTCCCTTTTGGAGAGGGTGAGGGGTTAATAGAGAGCATCTGCCATTCATTTAGTGGGTGGTCCAGACCTAACACTTGACAGCTGCTATATATCAAGAAACACTGAAGACATTTCAATTTTCAATCAATAATACCTCTCCCCTGGATATTTCCATAAAGGTACAAGCGTTTGCACCACCTATTGTAAGGAGCAGAAGCATAGATGATGTAATACCCAATGCAACACCAGTTCACTGAACTGGTCCAGGGCTTCTCCGTTGCCTGGAAAACACTGAATTTTGTTAATTCAAAATGAAATTCTGAATGAGAGCCCTTGAAAGCCAGGCTTGCCACTCCTGCATGGCAGGATCTGAGGCTGCAGGTATTGGGAGGGTGAATGCATGCCATATAGTGGTCACCAACACTTTCTTGGCACCACTGGTAGCCTGTTAATCTACTGGAGAGACAGTTTTGCCTGTTCTAAAATCTCAAACTGCCTTCCTTCCTCATAAATAACTTTGAAATGCAAATACTTCCATCTCCAAATGAAAAAGATGATTGCTCGTCTTCAATCTCACTTTATATGTTTACATACCGGTCTTATTAAGACA